AGGAAAAATGAAAACAGAAGCCGCAGCACAGATATATACAGAGAGGAGAAATATAGAGAGAGCTATGGGGATAAGAACAGTAAAGTGGATCATAAAGAAAGAGACAGACACAGCAGAAGTAGAAGCAGGGGGGAGAGAGACAGAAAATATAGATAGTGTGGGTGACAGGTGCAAACACATCTTCCTTTTTCTTGAATACCTTTAACTAGGATTCACTCGTGAATTGCTTTCTTTCTAAAAAGACACTTCATTTTTCAGTTCTTGTAAACTGTTGTGTCCTACAAAACAGCATCCACCCCATTAATGATTTTGAGATATTTGTACGTTAGATATAAATATTATGGTATTTTGTAGAAATATTTTTGTTGGTAAACGTTTATTGTATTTGTGTAACAAGCCCCAGACTTTTTGTAAATATACTTCCTTGTTCAGTAATGTTTTTAAAATACTGGTATGTGGTGTGTTAACGTTCCTTAGAATATTATTTCTTCTGAAATATAACAATTGTAGTGGAGCAGAGGGTAACTTTGGAATAGTCCTGGGATTTTTATAATGCCAAAAATTGACATGATTCACCATTAAAATCTCTACCTTAGACCTCAGAAGACAAGATTATTCTTGGACTGAAACTTTTTCAGAGGCTTCACATGAGGGCAATTTCACCTGTTAAAACAGACAGACATAGTTGCACAGAAGTGTATAGCCAACATTTTTTGATCTTCTGCAAAGTCTAACTTAATCAGGCTATCTATGCATTTTGAACCCAGGTATGTTCCAATACAGTGTCAAGTTATTGTTCAAGAATTTCTCAAGACATGAAAAGAATATTCACTTCTTTAGCTGTTTCCAAAGTATGCTATTTTGTGCAATAGAAAGTTAAGGCAAATGCTCATTCTTGTGTTGTCATGCTGCAATTTGACTTATTTTTTCTTAACATTTGTGGGATTTCTGATCCCGCCCCCATATATCCTAAGGATGAACTACTTAAATAAACTGTTGCTTTCTATAAGCAGTATGAATTGCCTACATTTTAAAAATCCTAAATCATTTCAAAGGCAGAGGCAGAAAAATCATAAGCTTTTATACTTCAAAAATGTCTTCACTGTTTTAAGGAACATGGTTTAGTTAGCAGTTAAATGGTAAAATGGTGCAATTGGACTCAGGCAAGCGCTCTTCACTGCAAATGGAGGCTTGTAGTTCTTTAACAGTCCTACCTGCATGTTTTAAAACTACCAGGCAGAAGTTTTGAAATACTACATGGAGTTAAAATGCTACCCAAGTGATTGCCAAGTGGTAGGTTCAGTTGTATCCTTTTAAAGCACATTCTGTTTGACTCACTCCATATTCACAAAGTACTCTCAGGCATAACTGCATACATATTGAGTGTGAGGCACCAACTACAACCAGGCACCTGTGCTATCAGGTGGTATTTGGTTTGTTTGAAAAGGTCTGTAATACACTAAGCATTAGGTGGGGGGGGGGACTATATTTATAGCAGCCTGGATCCATGGGAGAAGCCAAGCTTGTTCCTGCCGATACTGGGTAATTGGGGAAAGGGTTTGTTTTAAACTGTGTTTTGAAGCCAATTGAAAGGACACGAGGGCTGTGTCTACACTGGCACGATCTTGCGCCAAAGCAGCCGCTCTTGCGCAAAAACTTGCTGCCTGTCTACACTGGCTATATGTTCTTGTGCAAGAACTATGATGTTCCCACTCAGGAATAAGCCCTCTTGCACATGTTGCCTGTTGTGTAGACAGGCAACATGAATTTCTTGCACAAGAAAGCCCTATGGCTAAAATGGCCATCAGAGCTTTCTTGTGCAACAGAGCGTCTACACTGGCATGTATGCTCTTGTGCAAAAGCACATCTCTTGTGCCAGTGCAGGCAACACTTTCTTCTGGAAGAGTTTTTGCACAAGAACTCTTCCACAAAAGAGTTCTTGCGCAAGAAGCTGCTAGTGTAGAGGTAGCCAAGGAGTAGCAGGATGTGCTTCTGCTCTTCTCTCTTCAGATTTCAGTCTGTCATCCTGCATCACTCATGGGGAATTTTGTTGCACTGGCAAACAGGAACTTGGATCTGCACTAGTGGCTTGTCAGTCTTGCAGCGTGGCTGTAATACAGCTCCTAACTTTCTGGTGCAGACAGAAGGAGGAATAGCTCACCCCCCCTCTTTGTCCTACGCATGTGTGTTTGATTTGTTTGCAGGCAGTTGGTAAAGTGTAGTGTGAGCATCTTATGCTGCCCCTGTGCCTGCATGGAGCAGGTATTAAGCTGTTAAGTGAGTGGTGTGTGTCTGTTTTGTTGGCTGCCTGTTCCATGCCTGCAACCTGAGCCAGGCAGAAACAACCCATGCAAGCTTGGAAATATCTGTGTAAGAGGCAACATCGGGTAGGCTAATAAATGCGGTTCAATCGCTCTTCTACCTTTAGCAGGGAGCAGAGAGGGACTTGGGGAAGGTTTTACACTGAGGCAGGAGAATAGCCTTGTGGACCTCAGGGCGGGTTTGGGTGCAGTCTCAGCCGGTTTGGCAGGCAGCTGCTGAGGGCCTACGGTGCTACCCCTACACACGGGCTGCTAAAGAAGGGAAGGCAGCGAGCTGCACCAGACCTAGCGCTACGGGGGTGGGCTCCTGTTGAGCCCGCTAAGTGGGGGGAGGGGTACGGGGCGCCTTCTATGGCGCGTGCTCCGCGCGCACCTGGGCGCATGCCCCACTGCACAAGCTCCCGCCTCAGGCGCAGAAGGCGCGCGGTGGCCCCTCGCGCTTCCGCACTAGCCTGAGTGCGTGCGCGCGGCTCCCCGCATCAGCGCCCTGGGCCACTAGCGAGCCGGCTCCGGCAGGAGGTGCTGTTGGCTCACGAATGGCCGGGCGCGGCGTCTCCCGTTTGCCGCGGCGCGCAGGAGGGTAAGTCCCCAGAGCTCAGGAGCCGCTCTGCGTGCGGGCGGCCCCGCTGCTCCCGCGGACACTGCACGGGCCCATTATTTGGGCTGGAAATAAATGGGCTCCCTGGGAAGAGCAGGGGCCCAAGGGTCGTCGCTGCTGGCTGCGCCTGGCCACTCGGGAAAAGTTGAGGGAAGTGTGGGGCCGGCCGAGTCCTCAGGGCGCTCCTCGACTCGTAGCACGGCCGACCAGCGTTGCCGCCCGCCGGCCTCACTCCGTGCAGCGGAGAGGAAAGTCCGCACAGTGGGCAGAGGAGGCTCCAGGCGCCCGGAGAGCGGACGTGTCAGGCCTCAACCCCCTGGGGCTGTCAGTGGCCTGTGATGCTGGGAAGTGCCTGGCCCAAGGCTGGAGCAGCTCCGACCACCTATGGGCTTCGAAGGCGCCGCCTCGGCTCATGCACTCCTCGCGGGCGGGAGCCAAGCCCTGGGCTGGCTGGGGAATAAAGTGCCCCAGGAAGAGAAGATGAATCTTCTCCTAGTAGCCTCCCGCCTTTCAGCCCCGTCAGCTCTTAGGGCTGCTAGCCGTGAGGAGGCCCCTGACTAGTCTCTGCTCCCGAGAGGGAAGTTTCTGGCCCTTTCTTTCCCGGGGTGGTTGTGGTGCGCCCCGCTTCTGGGGATGCAGGTGAGCGCCCCGGCGCCTTCCAGCTGCTCACGGCGCGGTGGATTCCACAGGTGAAAGGTGCCTTCCGCTTTAATTTCGGCACGTCTCCTCCTTTTTGTGCTGTAACAATGGAGAGGCTTAACTTGTCATGGAAACGTGTTAATTAGGTGCGGACGGAATGATAGTGATCAGCAGGAAAACAGGGCGTTTTCCGTTGTGCTCCCATTAGCCAGAAGTGTGCAGTATGGTAGACATGGAGCCTTGCCCCTAGGAATTAAGCACAAGTGCCAGCGCGCTACTCCGCGGGCTCTAATGTGAGCCGATGGTTGTAATTTTAGGATGACGATCGAGTTGGCATTTTTGGTGTTCGAGTAACTCGCAGTATCGACATTCAGAACATATTTTCCGCATATTTTCTATGTTTTCCTTTAGCTCTTGGCGCTTGGAAAACTGATCACTGAAATTTATGGCGAACGAAAATAAACTATTACTAATGTGAAAGTAAATAAACAGGTGACTCAGATCAAATTCCTGCTTGGATCGTTACAATAAATATCCCTGAAGGAAGCTCTCTATTTATGTTGTCATTGATTAATTCTCGCTACCTCATTTGATTTCGATTTAGAACGATTTGATTCTAATTTAATTAGCATGTAATTTGGATGTACATAATTACTGTAATTATGACATTCAGGTAAGGCAGCTTTAGGCTGAAAGGCAATTTCAAATTTTCTAGCAACCTACTTTGTACTAGGAAATGGACAAGGACTTTGCGCCCTGCTATCCAAGTAGTAATTAGCACATCTTTGAAATAGGCAGGGCTGGAGATTTGTATTAAAACACCAACACAAATTGAGCCGCATTACCCAGCGCAAAGGTAACTGCATGCTACTGAGGAACATATTATTTTACTCCTTGCATGGTCACGGATGACCGCGTTTCCCTACTATCTCCAGGGAAGCTCTACAGAAGAATTAAAGACTGTGTGGCACCAAGGTGCTGATGCCATTGCAGGTTAAAACCGCAGCGCACACATTAGGTGGACTTTGAAAGCCATAGGTGTGTGGACGACAGAACTAATTTGAAAGGGTCGCTCCTGTCCATGAAGTGGTTACCCTGAATTAGGGAGGGTTACAGATCAGAGCAAGCAGCCCAGTTGTGTTCTCTAGCCGGTTGGTTGCCAACTCTGGGCACCGGGCCAGATTGGGGGCAGAAGGGTAGGGAAGTGGTGGCCCGGGCCCGAGGCAGGACACTTCTTGAGGTGGATGATCTCTGCAGCCTGCCTCGATTTTTTTCCATCCTTATCTGGTAAATTTCGCGCGAAACAATAGGACTAATTTGAACACGCGCCGTTTTTGTTTCCCTAGCTGACGAAGGCTGGGCGTGTGGCATGAAGGGTGGGAGCCCTTGGTCCGCAGTCAACGGTCCCCGGAGCGGCTCACCCTTGCTCTCGGGAATGGCAGGCCAGTAGGATTGCGGCGACCTGCGGTACCTCCATCTGTCCTTTAGGGAGGTCAAATACATTTGAAATCCAAGTCACTCGCCTGCAGAGTCTCTTATTTTAGCTTTAGCTGTCCAACAATTCCAACCTTACCCAGGTAAAACCACTGACTGCAGCCAAGCCCAGCCGCACGCCACGTACCCCAGCGCTGAAGCCTTCTGGCAAACGAAACGAGCAGGGATCTTTCTTGCAGTGGCACAGAAGTCTTAGCGTTGCGGGGCTTGTGCTGTAGGTAGTGAACGCCCTGTGGTCCTGAAGCTCTAGATGGCGCCAAAGAGCCACAGTTACAAGCCTCCCTCAAAGGCATCAAGAGCGACTGTCAAACATAAAAGCAAATCAGAGGGTTTTTTGGTTTTTTTTAATGTGTTAAGAATGTTATTCCTTAAGAAAATTTGTGGCTAAATTATTCTCACTTAAAATAAACACTTAGTGTACCAATTACCCAAATGGGCGGGATTTCTGTAATATTTCCTTCATCTGCATTTTGGAACTGTGGAAGAAAATCTTAAATCATCTAATGTCTGAAAATAAATTAGAGCTTCAATAAATAAGTTTCCCTTTCACTTGAGGTTTTTTTTAGAAAGATAACTATCCAGACAAAGATAAAGTTCTATATTATCTTATTAAAACAAAATATTCATGCTAACTTTTTGAATTATTAATTCATTTGAATTAATAATTAATTATTAAAGCCTATATACCCTAGGGGGCAGAGACCAAATCTCCTGTGTATCAGACGCAGAGCTATCACATAACATTTACACATAATTTACTCTATTTTATCTTTAGTATTCTTTTCGCCTTGTTTTAATGGGGTTAGCTATAGGATGGAGAATGAAAATCAATTCTCACGACATATACTGGTTGAAACAACCGCGCAGGCAAAATGTAAATTAGAATAGTCATTGGGCTAAGATGGAGAAGTCGCGTTTGAATCGGACCAAAACGTCAGGGAAACAACAACAACGAAGGATGAAAAAACCACCTAAATTCTCTTTCGACTTCTCTCGCTCCCTTCTCATTTAGAGGGTGACATGTTAAAAGAACGTTTCTTTATGCCACAGTGTTATTTTTTGCTCCCCGGTTTGCAGGCTCCACTATAGAAATGCCACTTAACTGTAATTGAAAAGAATGAATCAGATTATTTTTCGGTTCTCACACTGTCTGTTCTTTATCCAGTCGTACAAAAGTTCTGTAGTCCCCAGACCATATAATTATCACCAACAAGTACTAAAGAATGCTGCCATTTATTTTGTAAAAGGTTACATGCTTTCTATTTTCTTGGTTAAACGAACCGGCTCTGCGGCCCAGAGTTGCTCCCTTCTTCATTTCTGGGGAGTCTGTAAATGATGGACGTTTTCTGACCCCAAGGGGCAAAGGCAATGCAAAGAGGTCCTTGATCATTGAGCTGAGAATTGTAACCCTGGCCTGGCAGAAACTGGACCTGGATCGCTTCCTTTGATCTGTTTTATTATGGATTGAAAACAAAGCTGACTTTTGCCCAAACACCCAGTGAGAATGCATTCCTTGGAAACCCCAACAACTAATAAGCGGGGAAGCCATGTCCTGCAGCCCAGCAAGCGCACTGTTTATTTTACCTCTGCCCAACAATGTCATCCTCACCAACTCCCCGCCTGCCCTAGAATAAAATACATCTACTATAGATCCGCTAGGCAGTTCGGGGAAAAGAGTGGTGTGGAAGAGCAAGAGGATTTTCCCTTCATCTTACAGAGCGGTCTGAGTTTAAAAAGGGAAGATGAAGACAAATGTCAGAAAAGGAGAAAGGAAAGCGGGGATAATCGATGCTTTAGGATAATTTAGGCGGAAAGAAACAACGCTTCTAAGCTTATGTTTTTAAAAGGAATTGAAATTGTACTCTTGCCAAGCTTCCTTCTGTCAGTCAGTCAGCTACGCTTGTGTGTATTTAAAACAAATGCGTGAGGCACACGTTCTGTTAGGGCTTGGTGACAGCGGTGGGGGAAGGTTAAATACCTTTTATTAATATTGTCAGCAGATTTTTTTAATTCAAAATCTTCGATTTGTGGCCGTACAGTTCTTTTTCTGGTTTTAATTGCATTCAATTGCAGAACTGGCTTGTATTGACTTAAAATGTTGTTCCTCCTCTTCGCACTAAATTCAACTTCTCTTTAAATAGCGTAATTATCTCATTTAATCATTTTCTTTCTTCCCCTCCCCCCCCAAAAAAAACACTGTGGCTGTTAAGTTGGTGGTCAGGAGACAAAGGGAGTGAAAATAATTTTCATTTCAATAATTGCCTTCTGGTCAATTTAACTGTGCCTTATTTTGAAAGAGCCTGTCTAAATGAGATTCCTGTCCCAAATGTGTTCCCAGGCCTTAGCCCAGCCTTTAATTATTCCTGAGGTTTTTTTTCTTCAGAATAAGACGCTGCACTGAGTAATCACAAAGAAGTCAGAGAGCATCCTTGAACCTTTTCAATAGCAGAGCCACTGATATTCAAATAACATGCAAGGACCATTTGACTGCATGGGGACATAAGCATTTCCAATTCACTATTTGCATAGATCAACTGTCTTTGAAAAGGAAAGGAGCAGTTGTCTTCCATAACATTAAAAAGCCTAGTTATCAAATCAAGTGCTTAGTTTGGGGCTTTTAAAACGTTTACATTTTATCTCAGGTTGCCCTTTACCGTTTGACATGCAAATTTGGTGCAGTTAATTTAGACAATTAAAAGGATCTTCAAGGGAGCTTTGTCACCGAGAATATTCGGAGTTGTCCCCGTGGACCAGCTGAGATAAAGTTGGTCAGAACAAATGATGTCTAGGAGATTAATTAGATATTTGATAAGACATGAATCCCTAATAAGGGAATACAAGGCACAGGGGGCTGCTATGTGCTCTAAGTCAAAATTAATAACATTTAACAAGATTTTCATTTAGGCATGAAATGTCTTTTCCGGAGTATTGACTCTAGCGGTTTGTTCCCCTGAGATTATCTCCCAACCTGGGAAGCCTGGTGGGGCTAAAGACGTTTTAAAAACAGTTTCTTACATTTCTATCAGTTTCTTTGCGGTTTGTTTTAAATCTATTTGGGGGTATTTTATGAAATACGTTTCCAAATGTGGGTAGGTTTTAAACCTTCTTTTATTTTGGGTCAGATCTCGAGGAGCGGGGACGGGGGGGGGGAGGAGGATTTGAATGAAGAAACAGTAGTAGAACATAACCCGATTGAAATTTACCTTAAGATATTTTATTAAATTGGATCCCTGACATCAAATGCATTTGTTGTTTTTAAATTCCATTCACTTGTATTATTACTGTACTAAGATAGGAAGAGAAACCAAGAAGGTTTGCAGTAAAAGCTGCCCCATACAAGGGCTGAGGGGGAAAAGAACAAAAACCGTAAGAGTATTGTTCAGAGTCCTTTAATAATACCAAAATGAAAATATTAAGTCAAGATTTTCATACAGATAAACGCATTTAATTTCTTTAAATGACCTTAACTTACGTGTGTTTGAGTGAAATGTTAACTCAACATTTTAAATAGCTTTTACATATATACTGACTTCCACAAAGTGCATCAGAAATTTAAAAAAAAATAAACTTCCTGAATTTCAGGAATGCACAAAAAAAGACAAAAGAGACAAAAATAAACCCCTTATCAGAATCAACGCTTACAAGAAAAATAAGAACACAATCTTTTTAACCCTATTTATACAGATGTTTATGAAATACAGAGGAACTGTCTCAGACTTCCACTTTAATTTCTCACCTTAAACCTCTTTTAGGATGCTTTCCTTTTTTTAAAAAAAATGTCATTGTACCTAGCTTTCGTCAGGCAGGACCTGCTGTAGCTAGAGACAAGTAATCCACACCAAAGCCGGTGTTAGGTCCCCTTGGTTTCGCACGGCTCAGTCTGTGCGGGCTGGGGTCTGGCTATTGCTCTGCACCAGGAAGCTGAGTCAGTGTCAGTGTCCTGCAGGGCTGAGGGATTGGGCTGGGTCTCTGGAGCTTGGCCCTGGCCCCTGCGCTTTAGTCCGGTCTCTCCTGCAGTCTGAGCGCAGTTTGGGGGGCGGCTCCTTTGCCTCTCCCCGGCCTGAGCTGTGCAGGGGAAGAGGGGCAGGATGAGGTCGGGGGACTCGGAGCGGGGGGTCTCCAGGTTGCTGGCGTCCGTGTCGCTATCGCTGCCCTTTTTGCCCCCGCCACCCCCGTTGTGCGTTTTAATGTGTTTGCTCAGGTGGTCGCTGCGCATGAAGCGCTTGTTGCACACGGGGCAAGCGAAGCGCTTCTCGCCCGTGTGAGTCCGCAGGTGCCGCTGCAGCTCGTCCGAGCGCGTAAAGCGC